ATATTGTCCAAGATTAACCTTCAGGGTGGATATAGCTCACAAGCAGCCTCGCACCGAGGACCTATCCTCATCATCATTTACCCAGAATGCTTTGTGTGTAAATAAAATGGCTCCGTCCATGTTAAAATAGATTTTAAAATTTATAAAAACTAAACAGCCTACAGTATTTACAGTTTTTATTTTACTGTTAATATTTATGTTTATCAAATAAAGTCTAATGTTACAACTAATTGGGGATCCCTTTAAGTGTAAACAACTGTTTTAAATCATTGTCATTTATTCAGCAGGAAGCCACAGCCCGGACCATCTGATGTGCCAGTCGCCCATCATCTCCCACTCACACGTGGTGTCAGATGTGGTTTTGAAGAAAGCATTTTAAAATGTCTCCAACATATGTCTGGTACTTTGGAGAAAATAGAAAAGCTGATGTGCTGAATAAACCTCAACACAATAAAATTTGATTAAAAAAAACAATCTATAAAGCCCATTACATACCGAGACAAATTAAACTTCAATTAATGCATGTTTAAAGTTGGTGTCTAGTTTGAGATCTTTACATTAATACTGTAGTGCTATACAACAGCATTAATAGCCAATTTAATTTGATGCACGGTATGTCATTATTCTACATTATTACATTTAAAATCTAATTCCATTTCAAACAGAATATCCTCTTGTCAAGATAATTATGGAGTGTGATTTATTTTCAACTCAAAATATCTGYAAACTAATGAAACTGACTGCATGTAAAATATACGACAGGTCTGGACCACACACGAATTTTGTTCGTATCTGGAAAAAAATCTTATAATATGAAGGAAATGGTGAATGCCACAAGTTCTCCTAAATCACTCGTATGCACAACTTAAGAACAAATCTGTTCATACGAACGGTTCTTGCATGAGGCCCGATGTGAGTAAGTGATAGTCCATGGCTAGGGTGGGTCACTATTCATTTCATCTTCTGTCATGGTTGTGGCCTTTTGATCCCTGATGACATCATCACATGCATAATTGTTTGTTGACGGAGTGGGCACAATGACCCACCCTAGCCCATGGACTATCAAATCTGCTGACACAGAATTAAAACCTTCACCTTGTTCCAGATGAGTCTGGTC